TCGCTGAAAAACTCAAGAATTGGTTGGCCGAAATTGAAAAGGCCGTTCCTGCCGAAATTGAACTCAAGACCACCTTGGACGAAAAACGCGCCAAGTTGCAAAATTACCGCGACTCCCTCAACGATATCCAAAACCACCAAGCGGAAATTGGCAATCTACAAGAAATTGCCGCCAATTTGCCAGAGAAGACAGAGCATGTTGAATCGGCCACGAAGGACATTGTCGATCGCTATAACAAGGTCCAAAAGAGGGTCCAACAATATGTTGAGAACTACGAACGCATTGTCAGTGCCCACCAACAGTACTGCAAGGCCGTCATGGATGCCCAAGAATTTATCGAGTCAACCCATTCCACCATCGACTATTGGGGAGATTTGGACTTGGAGCAGGTTTCTCTACACACCAATTTAGATCGTTTGAAGAATTTGAAATCCAGTTTGGCCGACGAGTTCCCCCGTGTCGATCAAGTTAGAACTTTGGGTGAGAAGGTGATCCCCGGCACCGTTGACGCCGGTCAAGTGAATATTAAGACCCAAATCGACAATACCCAACAAGAGTGGGAGGGATTGATTGCAGAACTCAATACAACGATTGAAGCAATCGAATTACGTCTCCAACAATGGTCTGACTATGAACAATTGCGCGACCAATGCTTGGCCTGGATTAGAGATTGTGACAATAAGTTGCACTCCATTGACTTGAAACCCAACTTGGGTGAAAAGAAATCGCAGTTGGAGGAGTTGAAGAATTTGCAAGGTGAGGTCAGAGCCAAGGAATTGGAAATTGACAATGTGTCCGAGAAAGCTCAAATGTTGATGAAGGGCCCCTCGGCATCACGCAGCTCTGGACCTGAACTGGTCACCAAATACCAACAACTCTTCCACAAAGTTAAGGAACTTAACAACCGTTGGCAACAATATGTCACCACCCATCAAGACTTTGAGAACAGCATTTCAGAGTGCACCTCCTGGATAAATGGCATCAAAGAAAAGCTTGACTACTGTTCGGACATGAGCTCGATGAGCCAAAAGGAATTGGACAAGAAATTGGCCACTATTCAAGATATTATTCTCATGAAAGACGAAGGTTCCGCCAAGGTACTCAGCATTGTGGAGATGGCCCAAAACGTGTTGGCCAACACAGCACCCAATGGACACGATGCCATCAATAAGGAATTGGCTGATTTGCAAGAACTTTGGTCTGGCATTGCTTTGCGCATCGTCGACGTGAAGGCACAATTGGACGACTCCATAACACAATGGTCTGGATTCCTGGAACAGGTCCAAAATGTTTCGAAATTCAACGATTGGCTGGACAACACTTTGAAGGAACTCTCCGAACTGCAGGCCACCATGCCTGAGAAGAGAGCCCAGCTGGATCGTGTCAAGACAACTGAGGAAAAGGTACGTGTAGAAAAGATCGACGTCGATGCCCTTAAGTCACAAGCCAAGGATATGATTGCCAGCGGCCAGCAAAGTCAGTCAGCCTTCCAGGCCCAAAAGGTTTTGGATAGATTCGATGAATTGGCGGCTAAGTCTCAGAAATTGTTGTCCGAAAGACAGGATCAGTACCGTGACCATAGACTATACAAGGAAGCCTATGACGATTTGGTTAGCTGGATTAGCAGGGCTCGCGAGAAGTTCCCTTCATTGAAGCAAAGTTCGTTGAGCGATAAATTGGCCATCGAAAATGCTGTGCAGGCCACAGAAAATATGCTCAACAAGCAGGCCCAAGGTGAACTCTTAGTCGAACACTTGACGCATACCGGCGAAGTCGTCTTGGCCAGCACATCTCCACAAGGTCAAGAAATCATACGCAATGACATTCGCTCCTTGCGCGAGAGCTTCGAGAGTCTGTTCCGCGACATTAATTCCCAAAAGGAGAACCTCGAAGAAACAATGTCGCAGTGGCGTACCTATAAGGAGGAATACGAACGCCTCATTGAATGGCTGCAACAGATCGACGTTTTGGTTAAGAACCATAAACTGAACCTTATGCCTAATTTGCCAGAAAAGGAGAAACAGGTTGCCGATATGCGCGACGTCATGAAACGTCTTGAAAAGGGCAAGGATGACATTGAGAAATTCAACAAATCAGCAGCAGGTCTGCTCAAGTCCCATCTTGATACTTATGTCAACAACCAGTTGAGACATTTGAACTCAGTCTACCAAGTGCAGGTCAATTTGGCCAAGGATGTTCTTAAGAAGGTCGAAACCAATTGCGATCAACATCGTGAATTCAACGGAAATATGGAAGCGGCTCATGCCTGGATTGAAAACGCCAAGGAAGTGATTCGTGAGTGTAGCGAGTCATCGAGTGCCGGTTCCAAGGAACTGTTGGAGAAACGCTTGGAAAAAATTCAGGAACTTATCCGGAACCGTGAAGTGGGCCAGAATCTTGTGCACACCGCCATTAATAATGGCGAAAAGGTTGTGCGTAACACTCGCTCCGATGGCCGCGATGCCATTAACAATGAAATGAAGGAATTGCAAAACGATTGGGACCGCCTGGTTAAGAAAATGTCTACGGCCAAGGTGCAATTGGAAACAAACCTCCTGCAATGGGCCGATTATAGTTCAAGCTATTCTCAGCTACAACAATGGATCCAAGATCGCGAGGCTAAGTTGCAGCAGGCCTGCGAACAGAAGATCAGCAAATCCAAGGGCCAACCACGCTTGAGCAGTGGATTGAGTGAACGTAAGGCCAATTTGAGACAGACCAACAACATCGTCCAAGACATTGTCTCCTTCGAACCCATGATACAATCTGTCACATGCAAGGCTTCCGATTTACAACAGGGCGCCCCAGCTTCGGAAATTTCTACTAAATATGAAACCCTTACTAAACAAGCCAAGGATCTGTACGAAAAGCAGAAGAATACCATCGATCAATATCAAGCTCTTATCGATGCTGGTAATGACTTTGCCACATGGTTGCGTAATGCCAAGGAGCGCCTCAGCAAGTGCTCTGAACCCACTGGCGACAAACAAGCCTTGGCCGAGAAAACTCATCAACTCAAGATTTTGCAAGGTGAAGTTCCCGAAGGCCAAAAGAAATTGGAGGCTGCCTTGGCACAAGGTGAAATCGCTTGTCGCAACGCTGAGCCCGAAGATCGTGAGATCATTGAACAGGAGGTGGCTCTGTTGCAGGAAGAATTCGATGCCTACGTTGATAATCTGAAGAAGACCAAAGACTATTTGGAAATGGGTATTGTCAAGTGGTCCGACTACCAAGATCAGTATACCGAAGCGTTGGATTGGTTAACGAAAACCGAAGCTTTGGTCCAATCGTACAATAAGTTGCAAGAAAATCTCATTCAAAAGAAGGTCGTATTGGAGGAATTCCAGGGACATTTGCAAACTCTATTCGATTGGCAGAAAACTTTGGATCACTTGAATATGAAGGCCCAAATGCTGTTGGAGACCTGCTCTGACACACGCATCAGTAATGCCATTATGCAGCTGACCACCAAATACAATGCCCTGCTGACATTGGCCAAGGAAGTAATGCGTCGCCTCGAAATGCACTACCAGGAACATCAACAACATCACACACTTTACGAAGAGTGCCAGTCCTGGATTGAACAGACCCGCGAGAAATTACAGAAATGCGAGGTTATTCCGGGTACTCTGAGTGAGGTTCAAGCCAAATTAAATACTGTGAAGAACTTGCGTCAAGGTTTCGAATCGGGTCAGAATAAACTCCGTTACCTGATGGAATTAAAGGAAAAGGTTATTATGAACACCGAACCGACTGGAGCCGCAAAGGTCCAAGAGGACACCGATGCCTTGAAACAAGACTATGATGACCTGCTGACACAAATGAACGATGTCAAGCAGAAGTTGATGAACCGCCTGGCTCAGCTAGAAGAAATCTTCAAATTGTACAAACTCTTGCAAGAATGGTTGGAGGATGTTGAACCCAGTCTTAAGACCACTGGTGAATTCCTTAACGATTTGAGTGAAAAGAGAGCAGCCTTGGAGAAATTCAGAGCCATCCAAAGAGACTTCAATGGTCACAGCGACATCATCGAGAAGATCAACAAACGTCTGAATGAAGACAATTCCTTGGATCGCAATGACTTCAAGCTTGGCATGGACAAGTTCGATGAACTGCAAGCCAAGGTCAATTCAATAATCGAATCGCTCGAGAATCAAGTCAATAACCACGACAAATACAAGCAAGCCTTCAACGAGACTCAAGAATGGTTGCGTAAGACTCGCATGGACATCGAGCAATGCTCCGACTGCCACGGTGAGAAGCAACAGGTCGAAGATCGCATCAACAAATTGGGCGAAATCGAAGCCACAATGCTGGAAGGCAAGTCTTTATTAGAGGCCTGTCAAGAACTTTCACAGGCTGTCATCAACACCAGTGGCAGCGAAGGCCAAGACACTGTGCAACAAGAAATCAAACATCTGAACTCTGAATGGGAAGCCATTCAAGTTATGTCACGCGATGCCCGCTCCAACTTGGAGACCTGCTTGAATGTATGGTCAGGCTTCTTGCAAAAATTCAACAAGATCAACAAATGGATCGAAGATATGACCAAGAGAGTCAATCAAGCCAGCGAATCGGAAAATAAGACCCCCGAAGATTTGGTGAACGCTAAGGTAAGTGCCACCCGTCAGCCACCAGGTGGCATAACTAAGTGTACTGTGACTACCACACGCTTTCGTAGAAATGAAAACTCAAAATCTTACGGCACTACTAACCTCTCTATCTAAGCCACTTCCAATAGCAGAAAGAACAACACCTTCACAAAAACCATTCGTGAAATCATTTGAATTCGTATTCTAACCTTTAGTATGTAAGATTTCAGCACCTCTGTAATATCTAAGCCAAACCTGCAAACAAATCTATCCTTGTAAAATCAATTAACCCAATCTAACTAATAGCTTGCCTCCTTCTTCTACTGTAGCTAACCACTAACGAACGTCCCATGCTAACACGAACAAATGCTCATCCATTTTTGTTCTCTCTCATTTTTTGTTCTCTAGAAACTTTTGGAAGAAGTTGTGGCCGAAAAGGATAATGTCGAGGAACTAAACGATTCTTGTGAGTTGCTGATGGAGCACAGTGCCTGTTCCAGAGTTAGAGATCAAACTGTTGATACCCAAGCCAATTACACAAAATTGTTGACATCTGCTCAAGGTACGTCATTTCTTGGGGAAGTTATACACAATCATTCACGTCTAATGGGTTCGATATTACTTATCTAGGTTTGGTGGCCAAGATCGAAAAGAACTTGTCCGATCACACTGAATTCTTGAATTATAAGAATGAAATGGATGCCTGGATTGAAAAGGCCCAACACATCTTGGATGGCTGTACTGGCGAAGGTGATATTCAACAGATCACTCAGCAAATTGAAACTGTTAATGTAAGTTTTGTTGATTGGTAATCATGATCATTGTTTACTCTTATTTAACATATTTTTTTTCAATGTAGTCTTTGTCATCACGCCTGCCCGAAGGTCAACATCTTTTGGGTATGGTCCAAGATGCCTATACCAAAGCATCGAATGTCTTGCCCGAAGATAAACAAGAAAAATTACGTGATTTAATGACAAAGGTGCGCGAGGATTGGGACACATTGGGCTTGGCTGTTAAGCAAAAGTTAATCGACTTGAAACAAGCCCAAAATCGCTGGTCAGACTTCTCCGCCAACAAAGAGAAACTCGACAAATGGTTGAGTGATATGGAGAACACCCTCAAGACTATGCCTGATACTAAGGGCGAACTGGGTGAAATGAAAACACAATTGGAACGGTACAAGGCCTTGCAAAACGACATTAAATTGAAGGGAGCCGAACTGGACAACCTGATGTCCGAAGCCAAGGAACTAGGTGTTGATTTGGATGATGTCCACCGCCTGCAAGGCCGATGGGATAAGGTTAAAAACGATTGCAATAACCACATCAAGGAATTGGAATCGGAAATCAACGATTACACCTCCTATCATCAAGCTTTGCAGGATGTCGAGAAATGGTTGTTGCAAATTTCCTTCCAACTCATGGCTCACAACTCGCTCTTCATATCGAATCGTCAACAGACCCAAGAACAAATTAAACAGCACGAGGCATTATTGGATGAAATCCAGAAGTATCAAGCCAATATTGATGATCTCAATGCCAAGGGTCAAAATCAAATTAAACGCTACGAAGCCACAACTCCGGCCATTCGCGAAACCGTCGAATCCCAACTGAAGAACATTCAAGACAGTTACAATTCCTTGCTCCAAACTTCTGTACAGATACGCAATCGTCTGCAAGAGTCGTTGGCTAAATTCCAAGAATATGAGGATACCTTGGATAGCATTATGCGTAATTTGGAAGAATACGAACCAGTCATTCAAACGGAATTGGACGCACCAGCCACCACTTTGGAAATGGCTCAGAACCAATTGAAATGTGCCCAGAACATGCAAAACAAATTGAATCATGAAAAGTCGCGTTTGGCCAGTGCTGTGCAGGCATGTGAAGCCGCCACCGCTTCTATCAGTCGCCCAAGTTCACCTCTGGAAACAGCTATGCAAGTTATTCCAGAACGTGAATTAATTGTGCGCGCTAAATTGGAAGATCTGCTGGATCAGGTATGTGCAAAATATATTGAAGTTTGTGTTTAATATATTATGTAATGTATTGTTTGATATTGATGTAGTTTGAAATTATTGTAGTTTAATATCGTTTTTTAACATTTTTTATTTAGCTTTAAGAGTCTGCAAATTAATTTGTACAAGGGTAGAAGAATATCAATAATGTGTCAGTTTAACCGACATGTAGCATTTATAAATACACTTAGAGAAGTACTTTTTGCATGCGACTACAACATAAGGTTATAAGAAATAGGAATTGGTTTAACAATATTAAATTTCAATAAGGTTATATTCAAAATTTTCAAATACTAATAGTAAATAATCAAGTGTATGTATATTTTTTATAACATCTTAATATTTAGCCCTTTCAAAATCGGCATAATAAAATACCAAATATTTTTTGAGGCCGCATACGTATGCGAAGTATTACTATGTTGTCCCCTAGGACTAAAATCGTAAAACTATAAGATTCTGCCTCCATTTCTAGTTTGTCAACAAATAAACAAGATAATAAATATGGGGGATAGATCTATATCATATTTTATTTAAATAATTATTTTTGAGTATTTTATGTGCATAGGATATGTGGGAGGTTTTTTATATAAAATTTTATTTAAATAATTATTTTTGAGTATTTTATATGCATAGGATATGTGGGAGGTTTTTTATATAAAATCTATTGGGTCCTTCCATAATTTGATTGGTATTGATTCTACTATATTATAGTAATACTATCATATTTTTTGAATATAGGAATTTCTATATGTATAATTTATTTTATATGAATGTAATTATAGGTATTGCGCGAATGATCGATTATTGGGTTGTATTTTTATTAGTTTAATTAAATTCTACGTAGAATATCTTTGCAAACTCAGCTTAATTAAAAATATTTTTCTTGTGTTTTTTTTTATTTTTTACTAATAACCATACATAAATTTTGTTTTTTTATTTCTTCTCTTATTTGCTGCACTATTTAATGCACTCTTTGTATCCATATGTTTGTGTTTTGCAATTCGAATTCCCCGCAAAATCCTTAATTTTACTTTGTTGTGCCCTAACACCTTTAAATGCCAAAAACAACCCACCCAACAAACAAAACAACAACAATGCTTCTCCCCTACTTTAATCTAACCAACAACAACCACAACATAAATGCAACACCAACAACCAAACAAAAATTGCCAACATCATCGAACAGATTCCCAGTAAACAAACTCAAAACTCAACGCAAGACAACGAAGATGATCTGCTAGACGTTGAGATTTCTGAAGTTAGTGATACTTTACTGGACGCCGTTTCTCATGAACGTATTCAGAGATTCAAAACCATTATACGATCCCAAATGTATATTGTCCATACACTATATGCTCTAAACACTAAGGTAAGATGAACTCCAATACTGTTGTGTGTGTGCGTGTGATGTCCCGAAAGATGTCCATCAAAAGACTAAAAATAAAATTGGGAATATTGGTAATTGGTATGGTACTTATGGTGTTGGCAAAATCTTTTCAAAACGCTTCTTCTTAATTGGCTATTTGTTTACTTTACTGTATTACATGCTAAATTATATTTCTAATATCCGTCACATTTGTTGTTGTTTTTATTCCTACATTCAGGTTCAATCTCACTTGGGTGGATTGATTGCTTCCGTTAGTGAATTGGAGCAACAGCAGAAACAACGCGCCGAATTGGGTGATTGGATTAAGAAGCAGCAGAGCTCCGTAACCGATTGGTTAACCAGGCCATGCAAATTGCGTCCAGAAGCTGCCAAACAGGAACTGGTTGCCATGAATGATTTGTTGAATTCCATCGGAGATAAGCGTTCACAATTGATGTTGGAAATGACTGGATCACGTAAGTGGAATGAAAATATCTAAAATTTAATAATACCAGCACTTTTCCTTTATAATACTTAAACAATCAAAAAAATCATCATCATCGTCCTCGAAATATATAGCCTAGCTTCTAATATTAATTTTGTTCTCTCCCCTACGTTTAGTTGCCGAAGATGATACAGATCTTGATGACAACATTGACAAACTAGAATCAGCTCTGATGGATGCCATTGCCAAGAAACAGGCTGGTCAAAATGTTATCGACGACTATCGTCAAGGTGTGCAGGATATGCAAAACTGGATTGACGGTTTAATCAAGCGTATGGATGTCCTGGACAAGGGTTCTGGTTTGAACTGTGCACAAAAAATGGCTGCCATCTCGGAAATAAAGAACGAATATCAACAACAAGGTCCTCAAAAGTTGCAAGAACTTAAGAACAAGGCTGCCCAAGTGGGCGAAGTCATCAGCAACTTGGACGGCCAACAAGTTGAGGAACAAATGAAATCTTTGGATCGTCGTTATGCCGATCTGGGCAAGCGTTTGGACCGTAAGGCCCAACTGTTGGATGTTACCAATAAGAGCGTCGGTGGTGTCAAGGGTGAAATTGATCAACTTCAAAACTGGGTCAAGGATAAAATCCAAGAACTTCAAGCACCCACCACCTTGGGCTATGAACCTAAGGCTGCCGAAGCTAGACAACAAGCCATTAAGGCTCTAATGAAGGATGCCGAAGGTAAACAATCATTGGCAGATGCTTTGGAAAAGAGAATAGCCAATATGCAGCCCGAATTGGAACCAGCAGAATATGCTCAACTGGAATCTGCTTTGCGTAATTTGAATAGCGAGCAAAAGAATTTGTCTGGCGTTTTGAAATCAGAAATGGAGAAGGCTTTGGATGCAGGTAAGGCTCGCAAAGCTTTGGAGAACGATTTGGAGAAGGCTCGTGCCTGGTTGAAATCCAAGATATCCGAAGTTAGGAAATTGCCTGTCTACCATCCTTTGACCTCTGCCGAAATCGAAGTGAAACTGCAAGAGAACAAGAAATATGACGATGATGCTAAACAATTCAGCGACAGCGTGTTGAGCGATGTCCAACGTCAAGCTGCAAATATTATGAAGGATTGTTCGGATGCCGACAAGGCTGCCCTGCAAAAGATTTTAGATGAAATCGATGCTGACTACAAGACTCTCAAGGATGAAAGTGCCAAGAGAGGCAAGGCCTTGGGAGACCTCTTGCAAGGTCGCAAAGCCTTTGAAGACGCCAAGAAGAAAATGGGCGATTGGCTGAATGAAATGGAGACTGCCACCGAAGGTGAATTGAGAACATCTAGCCTCCCTGTATTGGAAGAACAGCTGGCCCATTACAAGAAACTTATGGACAATGCCGATGGCATGGGTGGTCTTATGAATGACATCAATGAACAGGGCAAGAGTATCGTGCCAACACTAAGCAATCCCGACAAGCTTAAACTGAACGAAGAAATGAAGAACATGAAGGATCGCTATGGCAAGATCAAACAATGTTTGGCCGACCGTGTGAATACCCTGGGTGATCATATCAAGAAATATAAGGACGCTAAGTCCAAGCTTACCGAATGCATGGACTTCTTGAACACCGTACAACAGCGTTTGCGTGAACTCAACAAACCAGTTGGCTCAAAGATTGAAGATGTCCAGGAATTGTTGGGAGCCTACGAAGGCATCCTTAAGGAATTGAAGGACAGCAAACAGAAAATGGGTGACATGAAGGTCGATGACTTGCCTGAATTGCAGAGCATTTTGGCTCAGCAGGATGACATGATTAAACTCATCGAAGACCAATTGGCCCATTTGAGACAATTGCTATTGTTGCGCGAACAATTCATTGCCCTGATCAATGAAATTATTGCCTTCATCATGAAATACACTGATGTAATTATCGACATTGAGAATGCTCCCGACAGCTTGGAGGAAAAGATCAACAAATACGATGATGTTATTGCCAAGATCCAAGAATGTGAAGGTGTTTTGGCCTCAGCCACTGACAAGGGTCAGAAGATTGCCTCCGAAGGTACTGCTGCCGATAAGAACTCAATCACTGAGCAACTGCAATCGCTGAAGAACCAATTGGGCAACCTGCGCAAGGCGGTCGAACAACAAAGACAGAAGCATCAAATTCAATTGGAACACCACAAGAAAATGGCTGCCGAATTATCCGAAATCCTCGACTGGTTGCATAACAATGAAGGCACTGTCAAGTCTAGACCATTGCTCGATCGCGATCCCGATTCTGTGGAACGTGAGCTGCAGAAACATAAGGATCTCAGCTCAGAGGTACAGGAATATCTTGACAAATTCAATAAAATCAATAGCGGCATCAAATCCGAAGTTGGTATGCCTAGCTCCTTGGTCGAGATGTTATCCGAAGGACGTTCCTTGGTATCATCTTTGCCACATGAATTGGAAGAACGTGAAAAATATCTGATTAACAACCGCAATTCTCGTCTCGACTACATGAAACTGGTCTCACAATTCAAGGATTGGTTACATGAGGCGGAAGATCGTCTGCAAGTTGGCAAACATGGCATAGACTATGAAAATCTGACACGTGACTTGGAAGAACACAAAGTGTTCTTTGGCAATGAACAGCCCATACGCAATTTGGTACACAAACAAATTCAAGATGCTGCCGACAAGATATGGCCATCACTGAACAACTTTGAACAAACTGAACTCTCGGCCGAACTATCACAATTCCAAACTAAGCTGACCAACATATTGGCTCAGGCCAAGACCCAACAGGGCGAACTTGAGAAAGAAAATGAATTGTGGCGTGAATATCAACAATCTGTGGAACGTGTAAAGGCCACCATCGATCGTTCGAAATTCTCTGATGAACCGGTCCAAAATTTGGCTGGCGTACATTTCAATATACAAAAATTGACCCATGCCATTGGCAATGTTCAGGTGAGTCAAACGAAAAGCAAAAATTGTTTGATATTTTGTAACCTTTGATAGCTTAGGGGAATGATATATATTATAATTGAGTCGTTTATTTTGAAAGTGGGTAAAGTCAATTTTATTTTATATTGAAATATTTAATGGTTTGTGTTTGGTTTGTTTCAAAAATATTGTTGTTAATTATTATTAATTTTTTCTTATTAATTTTGTTTGTGCCCTTAAACATGATAGAATTCTTACTTACTTAGCTGGCATGTTACAGAACGGTTTAAAAAAGATTTCCAATTGATAGAATATATAACGTAATAAACCAAGATTTGTATCACAACCTAAAATGGACTTAAGGGAAACCCACCCATTCTCGATTTTAATTTTTCAAGATTTTCAATGGGCTGGTAAATCAATACCAATGCTTGTTAAGGTTTGTAACTTTGCACATATATATTTGAAGATGTAAAAGAGAAGAAAAATAATTTACAAAAAATTTTTGTTATTGTTTTGTTGTTGTTTTTTGTAATTAAAGAAAAGTCCTTATTTTTGATGGCGGGCATGATAACTCCTCACTGGAACATCGGAATCCGAAAATTCCAACGGTGTTAGAAAGAGTACATGTCTGGCTCTCGTATGAACTAAGATTATTGACTTCTCTCTAAAATTAACAAAATGGTGGACCTTTGAAAAAAATATTTGTGGAAAATCGCCGATTTTTGACCAAAAACCAAGTTAAAAAATAAGGAAGATCTTCACCGATTGGCTTTATCCTAGTTCATACGATAGCTATACACTCACAGAGAAACGTGTAAAAATTTGAAATCGATTGGGTTATTAGTTTTTGAGTTATCGTGCCCGCCATTCACAAAAAATATTTAGAAAAATCGCGTTTCAAGTTTGAGAAGCAGTTCAGCCGTCACCTGATGCTGACACAATAAATCGGCAACATCTTCAAGAGTTCTTGAGACTTTCACTTGAAATTTTGTAGGGACATTTATTAATTAGTGTAGATTCGAATTATATCAACAAAATTGTTGACCGCGAGAATGGGGGGGGGGTCCCCTTAAACCACTTTCAAAATAAACGACTCAATTGTAAAACAATTTAAATCAATTTTTTAATACGATTAGCAAAGTGAGTTATTGCAAAAAGAATTTGGTCCAAGGTATTTTCAATTGCTCAATACAGGTTTTCATGACATCATAGGCCTTTATGTAAAATTGGCAAATTGAAAATCTTTCGTGTGTGTGTTTCCATACAAAACAAAATGGTAATCCATTACATGTCTGTTATGTTTAAAGTTTTTTTTCCTTCTCCTAACATTACTTTAAAAAGTCACACTTTAGATTGGTCTACATACTTAAAACTCCTTTAAAGGTAAACCCACATGCTTGTCGCCAATAAGACGAATGTGTGTGTGTGTTAGGGGGAATTATTTTCCCTCCTTGTTGTTGAAGTCTTTACAGATTTATTGTACTTGTGTGGTAAAGTCTATGAAGAAGAGCTTGGAAATTACAAAATTTGTTTCTTTCATTCAATACCTATTGACATACACACACAGTTATGATCGATTTTTAGCTCCTGGGCGATGCTAACATCCCGCTTAACTTCGATCATTTCTCCGATTTTATCGAAATTTCCAACGACCGGCCTACCTGTGCGAGGTGCATCTTTAACATCCAAAATTCCTGAACGGAATCTACGAAACTAAATGCACCAAACAGAAAAATATTTTTTTTTACTGCGAAATTTCACCCTTCCAACAAGCATAAATCTGAAATTATTTGATCGATCCTTTACGGGAAATCTATCAGTAAACCCATATGCCGAAAAAAATAATGGATTTCTTTTTCCCCAACCTAATAATTTGCGTTGGTTGGAAAAGACAGTTAACACTTTTGGATAATTTAGAATTTGGAGCCTACGAGGACAGTTCGGAAACTTCTTAGAAAGTTCTCAGAAAAAAGTTAAGTGTTTTGGAAACTTTCATCTCTGTTATGAGCATATATTAAATTTTGATTCGATCTGACAACTCCTTCATATAGAAACAGATGTTCAAAAAAGACGCATCCGCAATTTGAGTCGCACAAATTTTATGCCCTTTTAATTATTAAAATAATTGTAATCAGTAATAATGAGACATATGTTATAACGAAGGTGTGAGCAACCATTTTTCCGGTCTCGATTCGATTTTCAAAATCCATCTGAACTTAATGTGTTGTCCTGAAAATTCCCGACGACGAATTTTGCCGATAAATCGATAATGTAGCAAAGCCTATTCTGCGAAAATTCTAAATTCACCAAGAATAGAATATAAGGTGTTCGTCTCAATATTATGTATTTGGAAATACAAAGTATTTGGAAATACAGAAATATACATCTCATATCCAAATTTTCTACAATCGACATCCCTATTGAATAAAATATGCCAACACTCATACACGCAATTCTGTAATATATGGACTTCCATATATGTTTTACTTCACTTAAAAACAAAAACAACATCACTCAGGCACGCAGTTTGTCTGGCTGTGACAAACGACAGACAACGTTTTTCGGGTTTATTATCCATGTGTGGCTACACTTTTATGTATATTTTTTGGCCGTCAAGCTATACATTTCGAATACAAGTAGGTAACTTCTTAAACTTACTGCAATCCAGCCAGCCGTTGCACGAATTGTTAGTCTCTTTTTGGCCAAAAAAAAAAAACCAGCTGAGTTTGATAGATGGATGTTGAATGTTTCTTACCAAAGTAGTGGTGGATGAGAACGAAATACATAGAAGACATTTAATACATGCACAACGACAGTCGATGGAATACCAAAGTGTTCTCTTTAATAGTAACTTTTTATTTTTTTAATAATGGTATAGCTCCCTTTCTCTTAATATACATGTGCAAATTGTTGTTGTTTTAGTACCGGCAAATGATGATGTCATTGTTAATTGTAATGGCCATACAACGTGCCCTGACTTCGTCGTGCTCTGTTTGTAAAGCTCATTTTATTGGAGAACTTCTTTAGGTATGGAGAAACCAATGTTTAAGATACACGGCTGAGAAAGAGAGCCGGTTAAATGGTCATATGGTCCGCAATTCTGTTGAAGTTTTACCAACTTTTACCGGTGTTTAACCGGCATATGTCAGGAAAAAGAAAGCGAACAAGTCAAACAAGTCCATAAACATTCCAACAAACAAGTCCTTGTCCACATAAAACAAAGTAGTGTCATTTGAATTGTATTTTTAAATATGGCTAATGAATTATTTCTAAATAACGAATGTTCAATTGGTTTATGTCAATTCTGAGCCTAATTTCTTAAATTAGGATGTTGATTAATAGAATAACAACGATTTTTATTTAATAATCTCACATCAAGATTAGTGGGAAGTAAAGCATAATTCCAGGTTTTTCAACGGGAGGTGTTACTTTGATAGCCAAAGAAACATTCCATATTTATAGATAAATGTTCGTTCCATGTCAATGGCGTTGTTTCTATTTGCGAAATGTCAAAGAATACAAGTATTAAAAATGACAACTACCGAAATACCGGGTGGTTCAATATAACACCTCTTGCTGGAACTTCCCAAGAAAGCACATCAATTAAGCAAAATTTTAATATTAGCTTCAAAATTATACATATGTATGTATGTTCTATGGGCAAGGTAGGTTTGAGAAAATCTCCACCGAATTCTTTCTCTTTTTAAAAAAAATTGGAAAAATTAAATCCATAAGAAACATTTATTGATTTAAGTAAGTGAAACTTCCATTTTTTTATTAATAACAACAATGACTGATCAAAATGTTTCATAATCCGACAAAAGATAGATATACTGCATGGTGAGGATGTGCTTCCACTTGCTGTGGTGGGCCATGGAGAAATCGTCAATTGTAAAAAATACAAAAGTCATTCTTGGAATGCAATAAGAACAACAACCACACAAACATGTACTTACAATGTGTTATATAGAATTTCAAAACTGTCTGCAATGACCAGACATTATTAAATACTGTCTCTTCCGTGTTCTTTGGCCATAACAACGGATTCTACAACAACAAAAAACACACTGCTAACAATAGATGTCCCCCCACCAAACAAGACAAAGCATCTCTTCGATGCATGCAGTCCGTCTAAGCATTTGTTGTTCTTTTTGTTTTGGCCCTTTTCGTAGACCGGCTTATTGCGGACTCCACCTTAAAATCGTCTCATATAAGTTTGTGCGTGTCTCTCTGTGTGTGTGAGTTTTGTGATAGAGAATCTCTTTGGCTGGATGGCAATGCAAAAACAATGTAATTGATGACCAGGGCTGCCAGATTTTTTTTTGGAAAAATCGCCAAAATGACGATTTTTTTTTTGGAAAAATCGCCAAAATGACGATTTTTTTTATCAAAAATCGTCAAAAATTTAAATACGCACATTTAGATATATTTAAATATATTTTTTTATTAAAATGAACATAAAAGAGGTATTCAATTTATTAAACACGTTTTTTAAAGCTAATCAAGAAATTCATTTATTTTATAAATATTTGAATAGTCATTTCGACTTTAATAAAGTCATTCATTTTGAAAAGAAATATTTGTGGTAATCATTTTCAACAAGTCGGTTTTAATTAATGTATCATAACAATTTTTTTTGTTAACTTTTAAATAATCTTTGGTATAAATTTCTCCATTGAATTTCGACTTTTCGTTTTATTAAGATTTACTTGGCTGAACACGCTCAACATTTGCTGAGGAATGGGGTAATACCAGTACCTTCCGTAAAAATTTAGTTATAGGAAAAACATATGAACCATCACCACGTTTCAAATCAAATATTGCATTCCAAAAACGAAATAAATCGGTTTCATCATTTTCACAAATGTTATCAAAATCAAACAACCGTAGTTTGAAAAAAATGAATTATTCTTTTCATTACTAATATACGTGGGACTTATCATAGATACAATTTTATAAATGCTTTCAAATCGAATCTTTTTAAAATTGTAATAACTTTGTATAAATTGAAACTTAAATTTAATATAACAACGTTTCCGTTCACCAATTTTCTTCAATTTGCCCGTGTCAAAAACCAACAACCGTTAACTTTTATTTGTTTTGTTGCTGCCTACCCAGAGAACGGCACAGCTGATTGGTAGTTTTTCATCTATCTGGGTAAAAGTAAACTGTTGTTGGCTTTGTAACAGTCACATATGCACACACACATATGCCAAATATTCAAATTCTTTTTACTTTTTCTTTCGCTTTATACATTTTTGATGTTGCCAGAACAAAAAGAACCCAAATATTGCAATATTACTAAAATGACCAAAAATCGTCATTTTTTGGGCAAAAATCGTCAAATCGTCATTTTTCAATTTTTGACCAAAAAATCGTCAAAATGACGATAAATCGTCAAATCTGGCAGCCCTGTTGATGACGTTAGCGTAGCACAGCAACACAACAATTGAGAACATCAAGTAAAACGTGTTTTTCATGGTTACCCCCCATAAAAGGTCGGTCGAACATTTATTGAGATACTGCTTTTGTGTGTGTGTCTATTCGAGTTTTCAGTTTCTCTTCATATTTTTACTCTCGCAGAAATTGGAGATTGAGTAGTGTTAAGGGTTGCCATTTGTAATGGAGTTCTTAACTTGAGTAAAAATTAAATTGGGAGAGTTAAAGGTTTGGATTTCAAATGCCGATTGGAAAAACACAGTATACAAATACATCATATATTTTGCAATAAAGCCATATTCGTTCGTGTTGTGTGACATGTGACACCGTCTTGTTGAAACCATATATTCTTCAAGTAGTATTCTTCAATAGCAGACAAATAAGGCCATCGTTGTTTTCGAAGAATTGAGGTCCAAAAACCTTGGGTGCAAAGAGGTCACCACACAGTGACTTCTTCCGGATGTAATGACCTCTCTTCAATTGCTTGATGATTCTCAGAATCCCTTTTGCACTTTTGTTTAGAGTTCTTTATCTTAGTACTTATTCAACAGATATAACAATTTTATGGCTGGTTATATCCTCTGATACTTAATTTTAAAAACAAGTACCAAAAACATATAATAAAAAAATCAAATTGGTCGAAGGTGCCCCTATCGACATTTGATGGGGCACATTCGGCACCCATAAGTATAGACTGGTATTATCATTGCTATCAGTCTGATTGGAATTCAAATCCTTTAAAAGTTATATTTTGTTTTAATATGCGACTCAGTGGAATGGAGATATTACAAAAACAGCTGTAAAAGTAAAAAAATCGTGCATCTAAATAAGCTTATTAGCTTGAGATTACAAACTTTGCGACAGCTATTTATTTTGATATCCGATACCTATGGATTAAATTTAGTGACGTACAATGAGAGCTTCATATCGAAAACGCCATTACCAAAGGTGCCCCCACTCTCCCCTATGATAATGTTGTTTAATATCCTGTTAAAGCACTAATCATAATTTTTGTATTAGTTTTTGAAAATTTGTATGCGTTGTGAAATAGTTAACCGATCCTTTTTCGCCAAGGTCAAATTTTTTAACTGAAAAGAAAAAAAAATGGTTTAAGAACTTAGTTTGACTGATGTCGAATTCGATGTCCCATACAATCACGAAATTAATGACCCTTTATTTTAGTGATGTGGTTATATTTTTAAAATCGATGTAAAATTTTTTCCTGTTAATAATGTCATATGACCCCAAACTACCATCGACTCTCCAATCGACAATTTATATATTTTCTTATAATTCTAATAGGAATTTCTCTCCACAAGTTCAAAAATACTTAAAAATATATGTTGTTTCAAATTGTAGTTATACTCATAATAAATTGAACACACATTTTTAATTTTTTCGCTGCTGTCAGCTATATACATATTTTGAAGCGTAAGGCTTGATGACATTTGAAGGAGAAGTAATACTTTATGTTTGGTGCAAACGCAGGGTTGTATTTGAAATTATCTCGATGTAGCAAAATAAATATTAATTAGATATATTTTTGTGTTGGTAAATCGAGGTAAATTCAGCTCGATCGAGCAATTTAATCGAGATAATGCATACTATCACGATAAATAAACGCACCATTACAGATTTTTGGGTCAAGCTAACCCATCCATTCCAAAAACATGATGGCAGCTCTAATTGCTGCTGCTGGCGATTGTCGTTGTTTTGTTTTTATGCTACAGCCAGCCGGCACATGTAGTCGAACGAGACGACGAAAATAACTAACTCTCTTTTTCGTAAAGAGTGGAAACACTTGTTCACATGTTAGTGGTGTAGTGTGAACACAAACTATATTACTGTGAGTATCTGTGGGTATTCTGTGACAACAACAACAACAACAACATCAGCAATAGCAGAAGCAGCAGCAGCTTTTGCTTTGGCATGGCCAGAGTTTAGGTTTCATTTCAAAGTGAGCTTTAATGGACGTCGCATTTGTGTGAAATTTTGTTACGAGACATGAGTCCACGTTGTTTTTAAATCAATCAGAATCCGGTGTTATTTTCTATTTGGTGTGAAAAAGAAATATATTTTTTTCATTTCAAAGTGTATCAATTTAAAAGAAACAAATTGTGTGAATTTTATTTTTGTATATAATACTATTAACAACACCACGACACACAACAACAACAGCAAAGTGAATTATCGATGATTGAAAAGAGGAAATAAAAAAACATATTGTAAAAAATATAGGCCTAGTCGTGTCAGATAAGAAAAAAACAAGAAGAATTGACAAATCGTGGAAAAATTAAAAATAAAACAACTTTAAGTTGTTTGTTTAACAAACAAAAGAAAATAAAATAACAAAACACAAAACGACGTCATTTTTTTTAGTTTAATTTGAATATAAGAATTTGTCCAACGTAATTTTGTAAAGGTGAGCAAGCGAGGTGTGAAGTGAGCGGAGAAGAGACATTTACTTGAATTGTGAAATAGATGATGACCTCTTTTACCCTTGAATTATCCCTTAAAGAAAAAAATACAAAAAAAAAAAAAAAAAAATTGGAGAAAAATAGGATATGCTAAAAAGAGCAAAAGGGAGAGAACATCTCATTGATGCTCTTTGTTTTTGGGGGGTTATCATAGATATGGTGTTACCGTCTTATAAGAACATCGAATTTCTCATTTGGATTGCTTCTGATTAGGCCATATAACGGAATCCGAAAAATATACATATGTATGTGTATGTATGTTCACAGCAACTCATCCTTTTGAAATGGATTTCTCTTTCTGTTTATCTCTTAAGTTGTATGAGGGTTGAGATGTTAAATATTCTATTACATGTATTTATTGTGTCTAATTTTATTCTCTCTTTCTCTGTTGTTTTTTTTTTCTACCCTCCCACAGAGTCAAACAAGTGACATCACTCTAGCAAATCAACAAGCCCAAGGACTTTTGCGTCAAGCTGATGCTCGCAATCGCCAGCTGATTGAGCAGGACAATTTAGAATTGAATCGTTTGTGGCAAGACCTTATCGCCTCATTGGAGAAGAGACGTGATAATTTGCAATCTGTCGCCGATAAGTGGGACGAATTCGAGAATCGTCTATTAAGCTGGGAAAAAGCCATTGGACGTTTGACGGATAAATTCCGCAATGTCGACCCAGTGGTAAGATCTCGTCGTCACTTGGAAGATACAAAGCATGCCATCCAGGTAAGTTCAGTTTTTAATTCACTACTATTTTTTTTTAAAAATTATATTACAAAATGCAATTTCAATGTGTGTAACGTGATTTGTTGTTTGTGTACAATAAAACCAGTTGAAACCCTTGCGACGACGGACAAACGCCCTTCGTCATCTATTTTGGGCATTTATTCACAGTTTATCAATTCCAATCAGGTTTTTAGGCTTAACCTAACACCAAAGAAGTAATTTTAACAGCCTAAATAGCGTGGGCAGCAACAATCAAGTTTCGTCTTTGCAAAACTGCCAAACCATAAATTTTGGTGGTTCCTTGTTGTTGTAGCTAATGTTGGTTCGACTACACACAAACCAAGATATTGTTTTTTTTTGAGTTAAACACATAGTATTGGGAGGCCGAACAGAATGGGTGTTTTTGAATTACTTCCGCTCGACTTGTTTTTTATATAGAAAAGCAACTGGTTTGGTAGAAACAACAGCATTCTTGTTGTAAAGGTTCATTGAAGTATCATTGTGGAAATGTAAAATCAAATATTACAGTAAATCAATATTTTCAGGTATTACTTAGGTCAGATTGGAAATAATATGATTTCAATTTTCGTAAAAAATAAATGATTTGAAAATAAAAAAATTAGAAGTCTTTAAATTTTGTAAAATAGAAATGCCCACTGATCGGTCAGTTACTTAAATTTTAACCGACGTGGTCCACGCTTATATAAAGTTCGATGATGGAGCTCATTGGTGCACTCCTTTTGATAACTTTCACCACGAAATGTAAAACTTTTTGTGGATAAACGGTAATTTGTGAAGTCTATCTGGACATTACTTCTAGTACTTCCTTCACGATACAAAGTGATTCGATCCATTTTTATATAATTTTTATATAAATGTTTCATATCGTAATATTATTAACAAACCTGCATAAAGTCCGAAGATGTTGTCTATCGGTCCACGTACCTCCCTGACAAAGTTCAACGTTAAAAATCAACAAAAGAATCCGATTTTTACACACCTTATTACTTATATCGAATGTCGATTTAGTTCATTTAGTTCCATTCTTTAGTTATATTTTCATCAAACATAAGAAACAAAGGTGTACGTATGAGGGCAGTTCGGAAAGTTCTTAGCCTAGCACAAAAAGCCCGGTTAAACAGGAAAAAGTTAAGTTTTTTGGAAACTTCCATCTCTGTTATGAACTCATGTTGAATTTTGTTTCGATCTGGCAACTCCTTCATATAGAAACTAGAAACAGATGTTCAAAAAAGATGCATCTGCAATGAAATCACGCATTTCCAATTTTTCCATTGTAAAATTTGCGGATGCGTCTTTTTTGGACACATGTTTCTATATGAAGAAGTTGCCAGATCGAAAATATTTAATATGTGTTCATAAAAGAGATGGAAGTGTCCAAAACACTTAACATTTTATTCCACGATTTTTATGCTAGGCTAAGAACTTTCCGAACTGCCCTCGTATTTTATTTTGATATGAACTATAGGACTTTATGTAACAGGCTTCGGAATTTCCGATTTGAGCCAAATATGCACCATTTTGTTGTATGATTTGTTGCTATTTTAAAGGTATTCCTCGATCATTTCTCTGATTTTATCGACATTTTCGACGACCGGCCTACCTGTGCGAGGTTTATCTTTAAGATCTAAAATGCCTGAACGAAATCTACGAAACAAAAATTGTACATAATGTTTTTTACTTCCAACGAGCATAAATCTGAAATTGTTTCATCGATACTTTACGAGAAATCTATCATTACAGCCATCTGCCGAAAAAATAATGGATTTCTTTTTCCCCAACCTAATATTACTTCCATATAACTCAATAATTGACTTTAGCAATTTGTTATGCAAATTTTATTCTCGTGATTTGTGCGAATAGACATTATTCTAAAAATAATATGTAGCTGTCATTGTACTAAATGTTTCATTTTATTTTTTATAAATTCTACATTTCATTTTCATAAAAAAGTCATTGTGGCTCATGGTCGGTCGCCGTATAGACAGACGCGAAGGTTTGAAAACAAAAAAAAACTTAATTAAATAAAATAAACGGCTAATAGATGCATGCCGGCAGTTGGTTGCATGGTTAGCTTTTGTAATTGAAAAATTATTATATAATAATATTTATTAACTACAAAAATTGTATGAAATTCCCCATTCCGATTGTTTTTTTTTGTTAACAAATTTCAATTATAAAAGCGATTAGGCTATTTTTAGCAAATAAATAATGAAAGCATGAAACGCCAACATTCATTGATTCAAATAGAAGTGAGCGTAAGAAGAAGAAGAAAAATAAAACAAAATAACGAACAATTTAGCTTACTCTACTGGCCATAGCTACCGCCACAGCTATAAATTTTCTTAATCATTTCAGATAATTAAGCTTTCAATTAAACGTGATCATCGTAACAACCAAATGGAAAATACAACTGAAACTAATGTTCCACTGATCGACAAGCCCAGTGACTACTGCCTTCACAAATATACTACAAGTATAGTTATGCCTCAAGCATGCCTCTTTAAAAAATAGAAAATAAACTGATAAGCAAACATCATGATGAAGTGACTCATAAAATAGCCCAAAACTAAAAAAAGTAAACTAAACTGAATTGATATGTCTATATTAATTAGAAGCAGTATTATGATGACCATTATCTATAAACGTCTAATTAGGTTAATTTGTCAAGTGGTGGCTGTTCTAATTTGCGTATCGAGAATTCAACAAATTGTAGTTTTTTTTTAATTTTTATTTTCTTATTTTATTTCATTATGGAAATTACATAGGAGGTGGATTTATTTCCTGTGGATGTTACAATGTTAATATTAGAAATTAAAAAAATGCGTTATGTTCGGCTGGGCCAAACTTTTTACATCCTCCATCATAGGTGTACTGACAGGGGCTTGAAATGAAGTTCAATAATTTGGGAAAGAGGGGTGAAACGTTCAATGTTGTACAAGTTCCGATATAGTCGAAAGGACTTGTATGGGTTCTAAATCTATAGAGCCGAAATTTATTGTTGAACAAATTTAAATTATTTATTGTTGAAAATTTGCAAACTACAACAATACAAGGAGTATTCAGACGGTACTTACCTTTTGTTGTCAGCAAATTAAACACACTTCAAAACAATTTAATTCAAAAATCTGACTCTGTCGGACTTTTTTATTGTTGAAATATTACATTGAATTTTTAATTTCTTGATCAGGCGATCCACTTTTTTCAACACCAAGAAAAAGAGTAGCATTTTTTGTATTGATGGGACCTCATCGATTATTTATTTATCGAGGTCGATAAGATCCATCTCGAATTCATATCGAAGGGGTTGGGCAGATTCCCAACAAATGTACTTTAAAACGAGAGGGATATTTATTTAAGGAATAAAACAATTAAGTGGTAGTTTGTCGACAATGCTTTGCAAGGATGTAACCCATTGGCCAGCAAAATTTCTAAAGTAGCGATATTTTTTTCAACTAACTTTTCAACAACACTGGGATGTATTGAACGGTGATAATGGGCGAGATCATTATATATGGACTTTTGTGAGGTAGATGACGTATTTAAAATTATTACTAAACGTAAATGGAAATAGTTTTAGAAATTGGTACTTATGTGTATGAAAAGTACTAAATGGTACAACATTTTGTACAAATTGGATTTTGGGGAACAGATAGAGCTGGAGTCTTGAAATTGGGAGTTAAAATTGAAATTAAAATGACTGTTGGGGCGTATGATTGAGGTAATTTACGAAATTCGTTCTTATGGGTACGAAAAGTATTAAATTGTACTAAAATTAGTACAACTTGAATTTTTGGGTGAACGGATAGAGCTGAAAGCTTGAAATTAAGATTACTGTTGAGGATTGAGCTATAGAGGCAGATCTGGAAATTCGTATTTATTCGTGTACGAAAAGTACCAAACGGCACTAGATTAGGTACAATTTGGATTTGGGTGAACAGAGAGAGACAGAGAGAGAGCTGGAAACATAAATTTTGGAATAATGGCTGCAGTTGGAGTGTAGAATAGAGATATGGAAGTATGATGGTTATGTGTACTAAATGGTACTATATTTGGTACATCTTGATTATGTATGAACGGGGATAGAGCTGGACTCTAGAATTTTGGAATTAAAATAACTGTAAGGCTGAGACCCTGAAATTTGAAACTGAGATTATTGTATGGAGGTATTTTTTAGTGTTTAGGTAGTTTATGTGTATGAAGAGTACTAAATGGTAATAAACTGGAATTCAGAATTATAGTACAACAAATTATACAGTATTCACTTATATTTTGTTCAATTATACAGTATTTCTATACAAAATAGTATTTTATAATTGATGGTATGGAGTCGTCTCTTAGGAAATTACAATTATTTGTTGAACCGATTAATAAGAGAATCCCATTTCCACCTTGCTGTTAGTTTGGTTGGTTTTTGAAGGGAAATCAGAGACCTCAAAGCTCTTGAAATTGAAGCAATAGTTATTTGAATCAGTGAATCAAATTACAATTGATTCACATTCACATTTAGCTAAAATCGTTAGCTAAAAAGCCTTTTTTATAAAATTAAACCCATCCCCTGACCCAAAATAATATTTTTATCTTATTTGACCATATAAATAAGTATGTATATATATCTGTTGCATTGGACCAACATTATCGTTTTGTGCCTCGTATTTTTTTATGAAATATATTTAAACGCATTTAAGTTTTCATAACAAAATGTTAGTTGAATAAAATTACGAACATTTTGTTTTTAAATTCCCTTCGTGCCGTACGAATTTGTTTACGACGACCTCTTTGATGAATATGAGTATGAGTACAATGTTTGACCGTGAACTTGATTGTTTTTGTTGTCGTCATGGCTCTCTCATTTTTTGTTTGTTTTGTTTTTGAGAGTGGATATAATATTAGTTATGTTTTTTACAATAGTTATGAACTACGCATGCGTTAAAGAGGAGATTAGAGATGCCAGTGGAAATGTTTATTGAAAGTGGGGAACAAACATCTGTATGGGAGGTCCAAAGACATATTTTTATATACAATAATATTTTTATTTACAATAAAAATATTAGTTTTTTTCTAAAATGACAACATCTTACTTCTCAAGTTAATGTTCTTTTTATCTGAAGCTTTATTTAACTTTTATCTTTTATGTTTTTTTTTGAATAATTATCAATATCGTTCTTTTTTACTTTTGTTTTTATTTCATTTTTTTTTATTTTGAGTTGATTATCAACATTTCGGTAGAATTTTTGTATACAAAATATTTTATCCGGTATTTTGTGGTTATAAATATATTTTTTTATTTCAACCGGTTGTTTACACAAAACCGTAATGATATGCATATTTTCGTATGTACAAATGTGTGTCTATATATTAGTATGACTTCATTTTGAAACTGATGGCTGCGAGTTGATCGTGCTCGTTCTATGTTTTGAAATAATTAACAACATTTTTCGTATCGTAATATCAGCAGCAAATATTTTGTTTTCAACATTCCAATGTAATTAACTCACTTTCGATAATGCAAATTAATACATTGCATTTTGTGTGCGTGTGTGTATTTGTGTTCGGTTTATCAAGAACATTTATTTGTAATTCCCTAAATTATTGCTGTTTTTTTTTTTTTAATAAATAAATATATAAAATTAAATGTTATAAAAAAAATTAAGCATTTTGGTTGAAAATTTGATACATTGGAACAGGGTGATTTATTTTAATTTTGTAGGATACAATTGGTATCCTGTTATGATCGCGATTCCGACCATGTTAGGAATGTATTAAGAACAGAAACTCTAGTACGGTATTGAATTACAGTAGAGTTTCATACAAATTTTAAAATAGATATGTTAAAAAGGTTAAGACTATATTAAATAAAAATTTAAGTTATCATCACTGGTTTACAAATACATACGAATATACATACATATACTGTTCTGTTATTTACACATTTTTTTCATTCACAATTTGTGTTATTAATAATTAGCGTAAACAACACTCTTAAGACATTGACCGCTTTTGTGGCCTAGACCAGCTACCATTTCAAGCGGCATTCCCGCATATTATTCTTAACAATTCTCTCTACTGCTCAATTGCTAGATATTACAGCAATGTGATTTTTGTTGTTACCACTACAACGTATATGTTGTTGTTGTTATCATTAGTATTGTTGTTGCTGTTTTTTTTTCTTTTGGTTTCTTCTTGGATGGTGTCATACTTTAAATAAAACGATTCGTTCGTACGTTCGTTGGTTCTCTTTTTCAATGTTGTTGTTTGCTTTTTTCAATTTTAAATTCCAATGGTCATAAACAACAAACAAATGAACTAAACTGTCAAACTGGCTTGTATGGGGAATAGGGGGGAAAAAAGATACAAACTTACAATAGCAATGACAAAATGACAATAACAAATAATCACAAAAATATTTACTGAGCTTTTTTCTTTCTTGATTTTTGTTATGACACCATCATCGCGGACTGTTGTCCTACCTCTCCATACATCTACATATATGGTGAATATACACCAGTCTCATCAAGTTATAAATGTGCTATAGCCTACCACCCTCTTTGTACGCTCCCCAATTGCGTCTCTGTTTTTGTTGTGCTCATGTTGAATTCTATTGAATTCAAATTGAGAGGTTTTGTCAGTGCTAAGCTAAGCTTTTATAAAATGTTTGTTGTTGTTAGTTCGTTTGTTTTTTTTTCAATTAATTTGTTTTTGTAGTTTTTTTTTGTGTTTTATTTTTTTTTTTCTGTTACGAATGTGGCGCTCTTTGGGCGGTGTTGATGGCGATCAATGATCGCACTAAAATTATACACACATTTTTCGTTGTTGACCTTCGAAAGTCTGGTCGAGAATATTTAGTAGTTGTCAGATTTTGTTGTTGTTGTTGTTATTTTAGTGCTCTTCTTGGTGACATATTTGGGTAGAAATACAGGCGTACGTAAATATGTACAGAAACCGTTATTAGGGTGTAATGGAAATCATATTGGAAAAGTTCAAATGTTAAATGTATTCGTAATAATGGGGTTAGTGATTATATTCATACAAAACAAATAAATATTTCATATGGAAATCGTGAATCCCATATAATTTGTTGTACTATAATTCTGAATTCCACCTCTATTCATACACCTAATATCTAGTTTATTGCCATTTATTTCCAATTATAGATTTTAGCAAATACAGGTTCCACATTTAGTTTCATTCAGAACTTTTCGAACACATTCCAAAAGAACCTCAATCATGCGTTCAATTAGTACTCGTAAGCACAAATTTAAGAATTCCAGATCTGTCTGTTCACCAAAAACCAACACTACCTCAATCCTGTACTCTAACAGTAATGTTCTATATAAGTTCTTCATCTTTACCCATTCACTAAAATCCAAATTGTAAACAAATTAGTACCATTTAGTACACATAGTTATGAACTTTCAAAACTACCTTCATGTCTCAATCCTACACTCCAACAGTAATTTTAATTTCAGATTTTAGGATTCCACACACAAAAAACTAATTGTACCATATTTAGTACCATTTAGTGCTTTTCGTATCCATAAGTGAACGAGGGAATTACATATTTTCGTTCTTTCGTCATGGACAAACCCAACTTCTAAAGAAAAAGTATATGTACGGTTACGTTTTCATTCGAAGCATATTGCCTAAAAAGGGTATTTATGTAAACTAAAATTGATTATCTTTCGTATTGGAAGTGAGAGAAATATTTTTTTATTGCAAATAATCCATTTGTCAATTCCTAGTCCAAAATAAATGTAGTTTTCAGATTCGAAGTTTTAGTTTAAAATATTTTCTATTTATTTTTGAAGTTTTTTTTTCATTTTCGCATTTATCTCAATTAGTTTATATTTTATAAAAAATATTCAAATATATTTCTGTATAGTTGTTATTTTTAAATTTCAATAGAACAATTTCAGCTACAACTGGTTTTTATATATACAAACAAATAACGTCACGTTATGAATAATGTATAGAAAATCAAAATTCACACCACCAAAGAACAAAATATCTTTGCTGTGGTTTTGTGAAAGGTATGACTGTTATCATTTGTGGTTTTATGATAACAACAAATTTTAAATTAATGTCTATTTCGATGCCTTTGATAAGTTTCTAATTTTATTTTTTTAATTTCTGTAAACAGGAAATACTCAGCGAATCGGAAGAACTTAAATCATCACATAAAGATATTGAGGCGCTCTCAAAATCAATCGTCACATTCCTTGGGGAAGTACACAAACCCTCGGCAGAGGCCCTACAGGCCAAATTGGATAACTTAGTGAAGCAGCAGCAAGAGTGAGTACAACTACAATAAATTACATTTTATCTATGCTATAAATTGTTGTAATTGTATTCATGATATGGTGATATAATTGAAATGGTTTACATTGAACAAAATCGACGAGTCAATGACAATGGTTATCAATGTCTGGTGTGTTTTTTGGTTGATTGAAATTCTGTGCGTGGTGAAGTTTTTGTTTTTTTTGGAAACTATCAACAACATCTTTTTGTATTGTTATTCTTAACTGGGCATAACATTTTCATGCTCAACAAATAGTTTACATTCGATTTTACAATTGATTTTTGTTCTTTGGGTAATTATTTTTATGTACCGGAAATTGATTTTTGCCAAAATGGAGTTTAATTAAAGAATTTGTAAAGTACATTGTCCCGCCATTGGCCCATGGCTATGTGTGTTGACAGTGTCATCTGCAGGCTGATTATTGCCCAGATTGGTTTGGCTAGCTAGCTGGCCACTGAATGCCACAACAATTGGCCACTGCAATGGTCTAATTAAAAATAGAAATTCAAATACTTGAATTACCATCCGGAGATTTGTCTTTATACCGGCTAGACGCTAGATGTGCGCTTTGTTTGTTGTTCGGTCTGTGTGGCCGTTTTATTGCCATGTAGACATTCAGTTACTTTCTGAAATTTCCGGAAATAGTTTGTGTCATTTTTTCTGGAACAGATTTTGTAATATGAGCACACATGTGGTTTTAACCATTTACAAGCGTTTTAATTTTCATATGTCTGTCATTTTGTTCATTCGTTCGTCTGACTGATTTTTCGTCTTTGAGTTTTTTTTTATTTTGCTTTACACTGAAAATTCATTGCTCATCGTCGTCATTGTTGTTAATTTTCTTTTGTGTTTAATTGCATTTTCTGTATTCGAATTTTACTGTTGAAAGCAATTGCAAGAAAGAAGCCAGGCGCGTATTTTTTTCAACGACAAGGTTGGCATTAAACGTTGAATGTGTTTTTTACGTTTGGTGGCAGTAGGCTATACTACTTATTTATATCCAGTGTCTGCTGTACAAAAAGACGAACGGATCGGATTTATTAAAAAAGGTCTTGTTATAATGACTGGCAGTACTTCGTTATAATTTGACTTCAGCATCTAGTAGAAAATATAGGATTTTACCGATAATTAAATGTTTTTTTCTTCTGTTTATGTCCAATTTCGAACAAATTTCAAAATTTTTAGAAATAAAGATTCCGAAATTTTTATATTTATTTTTTCTTGGATTTTACATAAGCTGTATGTAATTGTTGTAATTTAAATATACATTACTATTTAAAACGAAATAATTTCTTTTTCGCCACCATTTACCGAACACCCTGTTTACTGTTAATTTCCTTCTCTCTCTGTGTTGGTGCATACAAAAGAAATCACTTTATTGCCAGTCATTAAGATTATCACCGTTATAAAGTGTTTTACCTTCTCGTAGTGCATCCAAGCATTGTGCACTCACTCGTAATGTTAATATGACTTCATGAAAGCCCCCAACAAGATCATGTGGCGGAAACATTCTCAGTTAACAATGCGTTTGAAAGCAACGGATCAGTGACCTTGTGGAAAACATAAAAATATATCTGCATTATTTTTTAACACATTAAAATAATTAAACTAAATAAAAAAGATTGTTAAAAAGTTGTACTACATTTTTTTAGTATGTTTCGCTCCAAATCCAAAACAGTTCGTTTTACTTGATTTCAAATTCCTTTAGTCAAATCTGCTCTGGAGAATGTGTTTAATGTATTAGACCCCAAAAGCGTTGTGCGTTTGTGTTTAATTTTTTAGCAGGGGGCTTATAATCCATCCATAAATCTGCTATATTCTCTCAAAGCATCTAATTTGCTTTGAGAGAATCTACAAATTTCGGAACACGTAGCGCAAAAATGGTATTAGGTTGGGGAAAAAGAAATCCATTATTTTTATATGAACTATAGGACTTTATATAACATGCTTCGGAATGTTCGATTTGGGCCAATTATGTTTCCTTTTTTTGTATGATTTGTTGCCATTTTAAAGGTTACTTCACAATCCCTCTCTCATAGAAGTCCTGCTTTCTATTTGCAAAAAAACTCCCTAGATACCAATTTTTTTATCATTATAGAAATTTTGAAATGCAAGAAAAATATGATATTCCAGAATGTACGGTGGATGCCTTAAAACTTCCCAACCAAGCTCCCGAAGTTTCTGGTGAGTCACTGCAGCTGTGTATGACCTAGCGTTGTCCTGGTGGAACACGACACCTTTCCTATTAGCCAATTGTTGCCAGTAGTGATGGGAATTTAGCGGTTGGCCATATGGAAGCAACTCATGATAAATAATCTCATTCTAGTCCCAAATGCATAGCAGAACCTTCCCGGCCGTTAGTCCTGGTTTGGACACCGTTTGAGGTGTTTCACCGCTCTTTGACCACGCTCGTTTTCGCACAGGGTTATCTTATGTGATTAATTTCTCATCTCCAGTCACCATCTGTTTAAGAAATGGGTATACCTTATTCCGTTTGGCCAAGGCTTCGCAGATGGTAATTCGATCCATCCTATTTTTTTTCTGTTAATTGGTGTGGCACCCAAACATCGAGTTTCTTTTTGAATCCTGCTTTGTGTAAATGATTTAATACAGTTTTATGGTCGCTTTTAGCTCCTGGGTGATGTTACGACTGCTACCATGCCGGTCAACTTCGATCATTTCTCCGATTTTATCGACATTTTCAACGACCGGCCTACTGGATTTATTTTTCTCCATCCTAATATATTAATATCCGTTGGGAAATGCATAGTTTAGCATGCAGTCTATGAAGAAAATTGACCGATCGGTTAGCAATGTCATATATCTCAGGAATGTCTTTATATGTCTTTGTAGAAAATTGTCTTCTGTCTGTCTTGAAATGTATTGATTGAATCTCTATATATATAAAAATACGTGTATGTTCGTGTTCGCTAAACTCAAAAACTATTGCACCGATTTTGACCAAGTTGTATGTACTGGCACTATGGGGCGTGAGGAGTGTTTCTGTGTAGTTTGAAGTTCATCCGACAGATGGCGCAAACTTGAGAACTTGTGTAATTATTTATACATAGTTACAATTCTGAATTCTGCCTGATTTGAATACATAAACTAGATGATGAGTGAATCACGCTTGAGTCACTTATATTGCATTTGTGTGGAATAAAAGTTCTGCGACCAATTCAATCATTTCCAACTACAAGCCATTTATTTTTCAGTCACGCGTGTCTGCATGCATATGTCTGAAGTACAGAATCTCTTTAATGGGAGCCTGTGTGTTGAAATTACAAAAACATATGAAAGTCATTTTTGTTTCGAATGCCTGGCTGATATTCAAGAAGTCAGAATGGGGAATACCCGCCAGACTGAAGACAATTGCATTTCGGATCGATACAATGTGCTGTTGTATTCAAAAAACAGATGTTTGTTTTTAACATTCTCCTAATGGAAAATAAATATTATCATTGTGATTGTCAGAACTGTCAGCACAAATGGAAATTCAAGTTGGTTTGGTGTCATTTTTAGAAATGCTCTTTACAAAGGCCATAACTGATAAAAATTACACACAACGTTTCTAGGTCAGATTGCATTTTTGGGTTTGAAGTGTAAAACTTGAAATATCTCGACAAAATTTAAAACAGATCTTTTAAGTACGTGATTACTTCGATCTGATCTTTATTGTTTTATTTTTTCGGCAACTGTGTCTCCCCATTTTTTTTTTTCATTATTTGTTTAATTTGTTGTAGCTGCTATATTTTGTGTATTTTTCATTTGCGTTTTGTATGCACACAGCCATGCCAGATAAATAAATAAATATACAAACAGATTCCGTTGATGGATATGATGTCATCTTTTAGCCATAGCCTACCCGGTCAGCCTCTGGCAATGTTATAATACTATTTATATAAATTGCTACATTCAAAATATGCTTGTTCAGAATATTGCGACTCTGTGATCTCAGCTAATGATAATAATTGTTTTTTTAATTATTGTCAAATAATTGTTTTTTTTTTTATTTAAATGTCATTTAATCAATTTTTTGTTAAGTTTAGTTTAGAATTATATTTCAACAACTCTATTTTCTCGATTCTTGAGTTAATTGTTTATTGTGCTGCCTTAAGTTTATTATTGACATTGAAATGTGTGTCTGCTTGTGTTTGTAGTTTTTGCTCCAAGCTAACAAGTTTTTTCGTTTTTGTATTGCATTCGATCGAACATCTTTTCCGCATATTCGATGTTTGCGGGTTTGCATATTTAAATTGTATTTCAATTTGATTTATTTCTCAAATTTATATATGTATTGAGTTATTAATTAAAGTCAATACAACTGTCTAGGTTATTGTTTAAGTTAAGATCACGACTTTTGTTGTGAACGACGGGTTAACAAGGTTAACAGAAAAAATACTAAGTTTTGATGGCGGTATACTAAAGTGGGGAAGAGGTATACCAACCAAAACTACAAAGGGGTTTTGTCTGAAATAAGAATTTAACTCTGTAAGACTAACGGTTGTTCGTTACCACTCTATAAATTATTTTTTTTTTGCCTTACAGTTTCTCCTGTATTACATTAGGAATCTTATCTAATTTTGTATATTTCACAATTTCCCTTGACCCACCAAAAGAAAAAAAATCTTAACTATAAAAGATGGGAGGCGAATTAAATATTCTGCATATGCCCTCTTAAACGAAAGGTGGCTGTCATGATCACCTTCATCATAAACATTATGACAGCGCCACCACAATCACATTTTATTAACAGCAGCAGAAAGTGTGAAATCATTTTCGTAGAAATTCATTCACATTTGCCGGCAAAATACAATTATTATTCGCATACTATGGCATGAATGCGATTTGTATAAGTATGTGTATTGGGGTTTCTACGAGAGGTGCATATTGTAAACAATAATAATAACAACAAAAACAATAATAAAAAAATAGAAACAAATATACAATATATGGATGTATGTATGTATATACAATTCATCATTCAATATTT